GAGAGAGAGAGAGAGAGGAAAAGAAAGAACCCACGGTTCCGTCCTTCCTGCTCCTTTTGTCTCGGCAACGCGGTATATACGGATGGGTGCACGTAGGCTATAGCTCGAAAGGCGAAGCCCGCAACGGCCGCTCTACGCAATACCTGCGGCATCAGCGTCGTTTTACCTGCCACGCGAGACAAAACACGGAGGCGCCTGTAAAAAGCCTCGTTTCCCGCGGAGGAAATCTCTATCCGCGTGACAGTTATATGAGCTAAGAAATTGCCACGAGAGTATACACATGCGTACTGGGGATGAATATCAAATGTGGATGAATATCCGTACAGTATTTTCGCTATAACCCTCCTTTGACACCGTAACATCCGACCATGGAGGATTCGATTCCCTGACGATCCGCGATAATGGACGATCCTTCTCATTCGCGTTGATTAAAGATTGCTAGGTCGCGGTTCATAACAGCAAAGTTCATGTTTGCTTATCTTAATTTTTATGATGCAGACATGGCGAATTCTGATTGCGAAATTTTCGAAAATACATAACTGTTTTTCGCAGCGATTTCGATTACTGCTTTCGAATTTTTAATGTCGGTACACATCATTATTCGACTTATTTAATACAGAGAATGTAATCATATGTATTTATAATTAAATACGAGCGTTGGGAAACCGAATTCTGATGACGTTTCTGTTCCTTTCGTTTCATTCTTGGAGACCTTTTGCCACTGCGAAATTTAAATAATATTCACACGCGATTTCTTCGCATGTAATTGCGCAACATGACCTCCAAGTACGCGCGAATGCATGTTTTATTGTCTCCATCAAGCCTCGAGCATAGCCACGCCGACTGGTTAGTAAAATCATATCTAGAAGCATGTCCAATCGACATTACGATAATTTATGGCTTAAATAAATGCCCGATCGGTGTACGAGCGTGTACAGGTATCAATTTACATGACGCAACGGATATGTAACCTGATATATCATGTGGCGGCGGGGCACAGGCAGACCTGCGTCCGATGGTTCTCATCATAACTACTAATATAAAGTAATAATGTGAAAAAAATTAATCTTATATGTAGGAAAGGTATGCGGAATCTCAGCTTGATAATCTCAACGGATGACAAATTTATTTGAATCGATCACGATTAAATATAAATTATGATAGATATAAATGTGCGTATGAATTGCGTTCTGTTGACGCTATAACGAACATACGCTCCGAAACACGAGATTCGTGAATAACCAAATTTGCAAACGCAATTTTGCATCGATTCCATCCTGAACCCGCTGATGAACCCTATACCTAAATCTAGTGTAACCAGCCGTCTCGGTTTTACAGGATTCAATACCGCGTTTAATTGAATGAGATGTATTTTCGGGATCATCGACTACCCCGGTTTTTAGACTGTTTCCTATATTATTAACATTTTATCGTTCATCAAGTTTGTAACATGTAACATCACTGTATAATTAACATAATTTTCATGTTTCTGATCATTGCGGTTATTTTACCAATCGATTTACTTTACTCAAAACAACTCATGACGATTTTAAATATCACATATAAAAAGGATAAATTTCTAAATGATTAGTATTAATTTCCTTTCGCAATAATTCAGTGATAAACTAGTTACAGTCATGAGAGTAATTTTTATTTTCTTTATTTT